AATTTTTAAGATTTAGACGTTGTTTTAAGGTGCAGCTCAGATTAAATGCGTTTCATAAACCATCTGAGCAATTACTTAAAATGTGAGACTCAGCTAAGACTTAAGTCGACACTATGAATACCACTGTATATGTCATATAAATTTACCATGATAACTGTGTAATTTTTCTTCGTAAAAATAGTTTCCACTTTCTATTTCTCATAGGAAATCGTAAATATTTATTTATATTGTGAATTACTTTCAATACAAATTAAATCAAAAAATTCTGAAACTTTTTTGCAAAGATTAATTACGTTGTTATCATGGTGAATTTATATGGGGTATAGTATATTTTTAAAAACCGGTAAGTTGGGACTATAAAACCTTAAAGCTTTGGATTGAGGATTGGATTATCCGTTCAAGAAATAATCCATTTCCCGTACGGTCAATAGTTAGTTCGAGGGGTGTAGGTTTTATAAATGAAATGACAATGGTTTTTAATATTGAAAACTTAGTAATGCAGACCAAAAGCTTTAAATGAGCAGTCTACGCACATATTTTGTATGCGTAAGTTGCTAATTTAAAGCTTTTTTGTCTCTATTACTAAATTTTTAATGTTAAACGAATATCATATAATTAATAAAACCTATATCATATGATTCATTGATATTCTTATGTGAGATAATACTTACTTTAACGATCTTCTTGAATACATTATATTTGAACCAATTTTTAAGACAATTATTTGTTATTAAATTAAATCACTTTATTATCAGAATAGGAACTTTGAATAACTAGATGAATGATAAAAGTTTTCATATGATCCACAAATTTTTATATCAAATTCTGTGAAAATCTAATTTTCATTAATTTGTTTCAATTTAATTTTCATTGGCTATGAGGCGGGGCTAAGAATTTGCGTTTATTTTAGGATTTGCTTAAATGAATATAGAATTAGAAAACAGTTTGATGTATACTAATTGTGCTAATTATTATTATTCAATTCTTTGCAAAATTGGATTATTGAATATTAATATAGAGAAATGATTTTTGCATAGTTATAAAGTAAATTCTATTATGTTAACTTATTGTCAAATAGAATATTCTTTAAACAAATTTTTACAATTTAAAACTCCTATAATTTAGTTTACTGTAGAGTACAAGCAATTTTATTTATAAACTAAAATCCCACTCATTTATTCAAATAACAGGTTTTATGCTAAATACTACTAAATAGTACAGATATATAATACATTATTTGTATTGATAATAATATAACAAACAAATTAATTTAAATCCAGAATATAATGAAAGCCTAATTTCCTTTAAAAAAAAGTGATGAAATAAACGGATATTATTTACTTCTTTTCAATACATTAGTACATTAGTAAAGCTTTAATTGTAATTATAGTATAAAATAAATGCTAGTCTTAAATAAAAGCGAATTAATCTGTGATCTGTGGGCACATCCATTGAACAGTAGATTTAATAGCCATTTATCACAATCTCATTCACTCTAATCATAGACACCATTGGCTTCGTTCACATCATTGACATCATATGCACGCACTCACACTCACACGTGTCATACGTTTTCAAAAAAACACCATTCATTGAATTCACGTTCATTTCACTACAACTCTACTAAAGTACTATATACTGTCACTAATTTGACAATTTAAGTCATTCATCTTTTATTGCTATAATATACATTTAAATTGCATTTTATATTTACTAATTTAATATTCCTTTAGGATATCATCAAAAATAAAAACATTTTATAAAAACAATTATATTATTTTTAAGATTTATTATAAAATATCAGTTCTATTAATATAACAATGAGTAAAAGATTTTGATTATAAACTTATATGAATCAAAAATTCAAAGGGTACACAACGTTCCATAAAAATCTTAATCTTATATTACTCATATAAATCATTGTCGCTTTTTCATATAATCGAGTCTCATATATTTAAAATTGAAATATTAATTTTAATAAAAAACTTTTGTATTTTTTTAATCAACTGTAAAAAATAGATTATAAATATATTCAATCTAATTTATAATATTAAATATTAAGTTAAAGTAATTAAATAATGTTACAATGTAAATTTTAACAATGTAATTGTAAAACAATGAAAGAAACTTTTATGCATTTATTTACTAATTGTGAAGTAAATTAATATAAGAACACTATTGATAATTGACAGCACTGTAGGTTGCCTTGAATTTAGTAGTAACTAATATTGTTCAATTACCTTTCGTAGGCGAGATTGAGATTGTATACAGATTCATTAAATATACTTTTGATGAAATCATCTTTTTATGCTACTTTTGCAAAATCGTATGAATCAAAGTGTAACTATTAATAATAACAACAACATACAAGTATTGTTATACTGTATAACAGCATAAATTATATTGATATTTAGTATATTGTATATTAATTATGATTATTGTAGTGACCTAGATTCAAATGATTTATGTTTATAAATCTAAAGTCTAAAACGATCTTGTTTATAAAATTATTCCCTGTTAAAAGTTTACATAACTTTTGATTTACAGTAAAATGTCAATTGAATAAAGGATATAAAAGTAATTAAAACAATGATGTTTATAACTAAGCATATTTTGTAAAGCTATATAAGCTAGCACCCAAACTGTATATCTTTTCAATACCTATTATAAATGTAACAAGCTCACAGTTATAAAATATAACTTATATTCATTGTATTTGTGACAAAATAAAAGTTATATTTAAAGCCCACGTATATTAGATATTCATTTTAAGACACCGGCCTTAAGGACCGGTAGCCTAACCTCTCGTTCACTTCATTATTAATAATTTATTATTATTTTTAAATACTATGACAGTATATTATTATTATTAGTTAATGATGCACCAAATCCAATGAATATTTTCATATTTTGAGTAAAGATCTAAAAGATCATCGGGTAACTAATAAGGTAACTAATAATGTAACTAATAGGGTAACTAATAGGGTAACTATCAAATCTTTTGTTTTCAAATCGTTATATTTGTAAGCAATTAAAATGTTAAGATTTTTAGTATATTTACCGGTACTATTCTTATACAACATTATTTCTAATATTTAAAGATACTACTCACTTGAGCACAAAAAGAACAATATTTTAAAAGTATGTTATTTTAAAAAGATTTATGATCCCTCATATGCAAATTAACATCAAACATAATATTATTATAGCTGGGACTACACAATTACTGTACCAAGTATCATAAGCGGTACGTGTTATTTTACTACAATTTAATTTACTATTTTAACAATCAACTTTATTTACTTGATTTTATTTGAATAATTATTTTTACATCAAAATATGTGACAAATGATTGAATTAGAAAATTGGTATCACAGACAATGTTATGTTTTATAAATAATACAATAAATTATATAAACAAATAAACAATTAATGCTTTGATTAGTTAAATATGAGATACGAGTTACAGTCGATTTTGGTCACCAGTGTTTCGGTCGTCGAAATAAAGTGGAGTAAGTCTTGAGGGTTTGAAAACAGAGTAGGGACTGTTGGGAACGCCTACGACCAGCACTTGGTTGCGCTTATAGAAGAACCTCCACATGGAGTGGTGGTATCCGCGAGGATCCAAATCCCAGATCTTGAAACACTTGGCCAATGAGAGCCACGTGGAGTAGTCTTTGGGGGCAAGCATTTTGATGAATACGACATATGTGTGGCCAGTCGTGTCGGGAATGAATGACTGTTCGCACGGACTCTTGCTGTGGTCGACGACTATTGCTTTGCGCAGTAAGTCGTGGACGAGTCGCTCGTAATTGTCTTTCTTGACACTAATTGGCGTATAATATATCATATGATATATCAATATATGAGTACAATATTACGGTATTATAGACTACCTGTCGATGTGGTGGAGTTGGATGTGAGGCATGGTATTGAAGGCGTGTTTGTTGAAGTAGATGTCCTGGAAGTAGGAGTTCATGTTGAGTCCCGAGGAGCCGAAGTGATAGGTGCGCGACACGTCCGGAACGATACACTCGCGCTGGCGTCGGATGTCGGGTAAACGCATCCACATATCCCAGTCCCACAACTTCTCAGGGGTGGGCCAACTCTGCTCCAGTTGCTCCTTATAGAGGCGTCGGCTCAGCAGCCAACCCAAGCCGGGCATCGTCTCGACCCGGTAGAGGAGGTGTGGGTCGGCGCTGGTGTGTTCGTATCCCTGATCATTCCACGCACTGATACAGTATAGGGACTCGTCCTCATCCAAGAGTCTCATGGTTTGCGAGAAGTATTGGAAGAAATCGGGCGAAACATCCAAATCCTCTTCCAATACGATGGCGTACTTGGCGTCGGGAAAGAGGTTGAAAGTGGCCGTCAGACTGGCCTTATAGTGCTGACTGATCCTGGCGTTGGCCACACCGATGGGCGTGTGTTGAATGCCTCGCAGACCAAACAGTTTGGTCACCTCCAGGGGCTCCTCGAAGTAGCCGTCAATGAAGACCGTAATCATCGCCGGATTGCATCCCGAAGCCGACAACAAAGACCTGAGCATTCGGTACAGATATTGGGGGCGATTGGAGGCGACAATAGCCACGGGAACCGATGAGATGGGGTCGTCGGGGTCGACAACACCGGTCAGAGTGAGTGGCGCCGGCTCTGAACAGCTGCAGACACTGCCGTAGCCCTCGATGTGCGAGCAGAAGCTCCTGCGCCGCCAGTTCTCCTCACTTTCACTCCAATCACACTCACTGTCCACAGCAGTACTCAAGCCTATGTCCACCCGAAGAACTACCGGTGCGCCCCAACTGTTGAACTCTGGCGAACGGCTGTAACTCTCGGCCAACAGTTTGCCGCCCTTCTGGCCAACCATTGCCCACATGTCTCGCCAACCGATCTGTTGAGAGCGCAATGAGCCCAACCTCTTGAGCACATCCCTTGTGGACTGTTTCATCTGAAAGGTTCCCTCGTCTTTGATACCCATTATCACAATCCTTCCGTCCGTTACCATCGATAGGAACAAAGACATGGCTTCGTCTTCGTGTGGCGAATACGTGTCGAACAGGCGCTGAGCCATCACTGAACCGGTCGACTGATGCAATACCAACACATGAATGCCCCGACCTTTGCCCTCATCCGAGTCGTCCACAATCTATGCACCCATACGTCAATCAAATCCATGTATACTATATATACTGCATATACTGTAGATGTTTAGGTCTTACAGTCGCGCCATCGATGGTCACACTCACTCGCGACTGACTCGACACCACTTCCAGTTTTATCACTCCCGCACCTCCCGTACCCCCAGAACCCCTCATAGCCACACCATTGGCTTGTCTGAGCCTGTCTTGCACTGCAATGCAATATACAGTGCATTAGTATTGAATCAAATGTAATGCAAACATATCTTACAGTCAAACATGGATTCATTGTTAAGTCTTTTGATTGTGTCCGCAATGAATAAGACGTTTATGACAACAGTTGCCATCAAAATGAGCACTAATGCCAACTGCCATACAGTTATCATACAGTTATGAAGCAATGTATGCATCAATAGATTAATACTACGGTATGTTTAGTCCATTCATACCTGTAATACACGAACAGTACTTCTCCTGACCAATAGACTGGTGAGGATGGCCTTCACGACCACTCTCTCGCACCACATCTGCGTCTTCCATGTCTTCATTACGACCAGAGTATGTCTTATGGCATTGTTATATCATTCAATGGTCATACCTGTCATACCTGTGCCATCGAGTGCTCCTATGAGTACATCACTGCATATGTGCAAATAAATTGTCATTTACTGCACATCACGGCTACAGTTAGACCATAGGGTTACCATCAATACAAACAAACTGTCACTTCTATGTAAATGTTAATCATATGAATACATGATACCAATTGGACATTACAGTGGTCCGGCATTTATATTTATTTATCTCATCAATTGGTCAATTTGGGTAAAATGCGCGCACATATCAAATGTTCACTAATATATTGATCCTGCCCTCTAAACGCATATTTGTATAATACTGTACAAATTGTATATACGGTACAGTATCATAATACTACGGTACCAGTAGCCTAACATTACATTTTATTTCAGTATAATTATTATATGATACTCTATTAAGCATTTGAATAATAAATTATTGTAACAATAATTAGCAAAGAAAATATCAATTTTTGGCAAATTAAACTTACGGTATGTCATCTAATATTTGAGAAAATAATTGCATAACATTGCATCTAATACATTTATAAAATAAATACTTGAAGCTGGTACAGTATTAATAATAAATCTCTTAAGTTTATACGATAGGCGCTCATTGGGATAGTCGATATTAATCGAAACCTGTGCTTTTCAATCATATACTACTTGCTAAAGGTATCGATATCGACTATCTATACTTTCCACAATGATGCCCTATCGTATAAACTTAAGAGAAATATAAAAGAGAAAAGTGCAGTTCTGTAGACTTATTATCATAGTTAAATTATTTAATCATATATGGTATAGGAAAACACAGAGCCTGAGCATTAATACAGTACATAGAGCTAGAAAACCTTGGGGAAAATATTATAACTCGAGATGAATATGATAATATGATCTAACACAAACAGTACTAATCAATTAAAAGTGTTTGAAACATGAGACATAATATTACAATGTTACTCTATTTGTGATACATTTGTAAATACATATTGAATTGTGTATAATAGTAAAAAATAAAACCACAAATTCTGCAATTTATTAAACAATTACAGTATTAATAAATTATTATTATACATGTATGTGACTTTTTCTATATAATTAATAATTATATTATAAACAAAGATACATAAATATTATATATGTATTATATATAAATATTATACAGTACTATACTAATATATTGTATATTATTATACTATAAACAAATTATTTGCTATTAATTTAGTATTAATAATTGTACAATACTGGACTGCACTGTATATTACATTAATATTCTATTTATTATCTTATATATAAAAGTTCTATAAAATAAGATTCTTTAAAGAATTTTTATAAATTACAATGCATCTTTATGTTTAATATAATATAATATAATATAAATCATAAACAGAGTTAGAGTTAGTGGTTTTAAATAAAAATTGATTCATGCGCTATTTTCCATAAAGGTATAATTGATATTACTAATAAGTTGACCAAACTCTAACGCCTGTCTGGTTATGATTTATACATATAATATTATCTATTAATTGTTTATTATATATTATAGATGTATAGTAATTTTAGTATTATAGATGTGTGTGTGTGTGAGGGAGGGAGGGAGAGAGAGAGAGAGAGAGAGAGATTGACAAGAATAATATAGTTGTATTGAGACATTGGGCTCAATGAACTTTAAAGTGTAAGTGTTGGGTCAGTCACAGAAAATCGTGATTTACGACATTGAAACTAATAGCAAAAAAATAAGACTTAATTAAATATTCCTTTAAGACCAAAAGAAGTTGAATAAACTTGATTGCTCAGAATTAAAAACTTTTACAGAAATACTTTAGTATTTAGATTTGCAATAAACCTCCCAGTAAAATATACAAATTAAAATGTGTATACTGTATTAAAATTCAATATACTGTATATTTAATAATTAAGTTATTATAGTTTTTTAAGANATATACTGTAGATGTTTAGGTCTTACAGTCGCGCCATCGATGGTCACACTCACTCGCGACTGACTCGACACCACTTCCAGTTTTATCACTCCCGCACCTCCCGTACCCCCAGAACCCCTCATAGCCAAACCATTATGTAACTCTTCATCTTTAACCTTATTTTCTGCAATAATAGATAATTATATTCATATTTATTATTCAATAAACACTTTAATATGATTCATACGATCATTATCCATATCAGAGCTCATCCTTTGTGTCGTATCGATAATGAAGAGGACGTTAATAATAAGAGTAACCATAAGAATGACCAAAAAGACAAACTGTAATAAATTTTAATCATTAAAACACAATCATACATTGTCTTAAATTTGTTAGAATTGATTTTTAAAATTAATAACAATTACAATACTGTATCTGCTATTTTTATGTAATTGAAGTATTATGTTTACACTTATTAAATTTACACCAACAAACCTAGTTTTAATTAAATTTAAAAATAGGTAAATTAAAAAGTCAATTCATTTCAATCAGAATCAATATCAGTAGATCTTAAATTAGTGTCTCATATCTTAAAATAATACAGATATGCTTCATAAATGCTTTAATTAATATTACAATTAAGAATATTTGTGAAAATATTGTTAAGTATACTAATAAAGTTAAAATAATTTGATAATACTGGTGTGATAAATTTAGATTGCACTGACTCGTGAATTGATCCATTAAATAACACATACAATCAACAGTGAACAATACACTGATGATATAACTTTTGCACAGTTATATATACTAATGTGTTGTTTAAGTAACTTACAAACGGCGTTAGTAGATTACCAAATAATAAAAGTGTATAGTCTGTGATAATGTGATGACATGTACCTAGACTAATTTAACATAACTTACAGTAAAAGATTTATCACAACTCAATAATAGCAACAAATTTGTTGTCTATATTTGTGACCGAAAACACAAATCATAGTTTTGCTAATATTGTTATAAATGCATTTGGTTTGTGTTACATTTATGTAATCTTCAGTTGCATTATTCACAACAATTGTATCACAAGTTATATCTGTTTTCTATTTACTCGCATTTTTGATGGAAATAAATACCAATTTCTTTGATAACCTAATGATGAACGCATTCATAACAGCTTTGAAAGCATTATTAACTTTTAGAGGTGTTTAGTCTTCATTTACTCTGAAAAATACTTTCGTTCATATTATCAATAAACCTGAGTTTAATTAATCGTTAGATATTCAATTTAAAAATACATTTTTATAACAATAAATAATATTTATAGATGAGATATTTTAAAACAAATCCGAGATCAAGTTTTTATTGAAACGTGCATAAAACATTGAACATTTTCAACTACTCATATACTTTTGACGATTGTAAATAAACTTTACGTGACTTTTACTTACGCAAAGAATGTCACGATACTTACGTTCGTAATAAATTAAAGAATTAACATCCGTTGAAACACTGCTTTGAGTGCTATTAATATACAGCAGAAATATAAAACAATTGACAATTATATGACAAAAACAATTATATGAAACAATTTACACTATCATGCATTCATTCATTTCAAGAATATTTCCTATGACTCAGATTTATAGTAAATTTAAAATAATACATCACTTGAGTGCATGAAATAGATGCTAAAATGTATTTTCATAGATCTAACTGTACTGTACTGTAATGACTAACTGCTCACAGCATCACAACAGCCCATCTATAGTGAGGAGATCTCTATGATTGGTAGCTATAAGTCCAGTCATCACAGAGGGTGACAGTCTGTGGAGCACAGGATTTGTGCCATCAATCAGTCTGTGTTTATGGGATGTGGGCTGTAATGGTCACTACTTTTAACTATTCATACTATACTATACTATACAATGATACACATATTGAATGCAACTACTATTGTAGTGACAATTGTCGGTCACTACTGTATAGTATTTTGAATGCGAGTCAACCGATTATGAGTCATATTCTCAATGTTCTTCACAAACAATGTTTTTACATGTTTTTGTATCTGATGTTGGAAAGCAAAACTAGACTTATATATAATATTTGCACCATAGTTAGCTAATAGTAATGTTTTATTGGTTTCTACTAAAAGTTATAACTTAATGTATAGTTATGCAAAACAAACAAACCTGCAAAAGTCGAGTAATCATACGGCGAGGTATCAGTAATTGATGTCTTAAACGAGTATTAATAGTGTTTTGTTTGTTGAACACATAAACCATTTCATCACATTTGACTGAAACAAGTGATGGCAATGAACGCGTGGGTCTTATCGCATACATTGCTCTTTCAATTGATATTCTTTTCGTAGTCAATACAGTCACACAATATTATTGTTTAAACCAATATTTCAAAGCATGTCTTCAAATCAAATCAGTTATCTCGTCATTTACCATAAATAATGGTTTATTGAATTTAAGAAGAACATGGTCATATAATGGTCATATAATGGTCATATTAGGCTCATACATGTCTTTGTCTTCACAACGTATTCCTACTGAATGTTCAAACTGAAAAAAACAAATTTGTTAAATTCTTTATACTTAATAATATAAATTTATGATCTAAATTATTCATAAACATTCTTATCTATATTTTTTTGTTAATATTGTTTAATAGTTTAAATTAGAAGTGAATTGAGTTATAATAAATTGAATATTATTGAAATGAAAATGATTGAATAACTATAATAAATGAACAGAAATATGAATTGGTGGCAATTCGTGGATGAAATATACGGCACAGTACATTCATGTAATTTGTATACATTTTATATAATATTATTCATGCATTCAATCATATGAATTGTGTAGAGACAGTATGAGTGTATGTATGGCACGACCACATCATTTGACGGGTATTTCATTGTATTGAGTAATGTGTCCATTGGTTTGTAATAATATAGTTTGCAAAATCAGTACATTTTGGTATATTGTATCCAGCTATTTAATAACACTCAAACCAAGTCAAGCAATGCATTCAAACAAATTCAATATGTAACATAAGATTGTCAAATTCATGACTTATATAGCAAAATTAGATATTCGTATGTTCAAATTAATATGTATACTAATACGGTACTATAATAAATGTTTAAAAATCAATGTAATATTTTGGGCAATAATTAAATTGTTGTATTTAATCAAGGAAATGGTGATTTGGCTAACTTTATAATAACTTAAAATAATTTAGATACTACATTGCAGAATTATCTATAGTTTATAATAGTTTAATTACAATTTAATAGATTATTGTCATTATGAATGTTTTGGTATTTAAAGGTTTTATTTGAATTTTGATCAAGCTATAACTTATTTTATATGAATTTATGTGTAAAATGATTATATTTAGTATTAGATCAGTTTATTATAATAAACAAAATCTTCTATTAGTTAATATTTAATTAATATTATTATTAAATGAATAAATGCAATATTTTGGTATTGAAATAAAAATAGTAATTTTTTCAATGCCTATACTGTACAGTATTAAATTTAATAACAAAACAAAATGTCTATATAGCATGTTGTCATATTCATAACATACAGTATTTAATTATGTAAATGTATTTATATGTGTGTATTAATGAATGAAATGTAGTATTAGTTGTTTAATATGTTGAGTTGAGTCTAACGGTCTATCCAACCAAAACCTAAACATAACTATTTGTCAATCTTTGGTTGTATCGACGGAAACAGAGTATTGATATCTAGCATAATATTGTCACTCAGTTTATGCATTCAAATCATATTTATGTTCAATCATATTATCACAAATTATTTAGAATTACAGCAATTGTCAAAATAATAAACCTAACATTTAAATGAGAAAACTGTATTGCTACCTCATGCAGGTATGAACATATGAACATTAAGAATTGAATTTAATATTTTTTTAATGAAAATTATTATTTAAAATGATTTTACTGTTAAAAGAATAAGAAAATAGAAGTTTTTGGCAGAAATAATAATCCTGGATATTAGGTATACTACATACAGTAAACATACCTGTATAAATGGTATATACTGTAATTCTGTAATAAATACTGTACTTATACTATAATAAATGTATAAATTGTATTGTATTGTATATATTGATGATAAATCAATGCCAATAAGAGATGAGAACTAAGAAATTCACTTAACTATAGACAAGAATTATTGTCACTTATTATATGATAGACTGTTCACTGAAGTCATACACATAAAGGAAATTATGTTTTCCATATGTTTTGACATCTTATGTAATAAATATCTCATCTTATATTTTATCTTCAAATTCAGAGCAAATCTGTGGTTAAATTCACAATACATAGTACGGCACACACTTTTTTGCCCTGGCTCACATTATGTTTACATACTGTAACTTTATGCCTCATTTAAACATTGATTGATTTGCTCCTAAATATGAATCAAATTTTACTATTTGTTTATATTTAAGTACATCTAGAATTGTTTAAGAGGTGATCGTTTTATAATGACAAGTCAGTTATTATTAAAAAGATCCACTTTCAAAATAATAATCACAAAATATCTATAAATATAATATATCATTACCTATCCAATTGAAAACAAATTACTCAATGGTAACATTATATCATTTAA